AATATAGTATATGAAAATTTTGTATTTATATAATTTGGGGTTAAAAAAGCAAAAAAAAAAAAAGCGCATATTAAAAATAGAAAAACTCATTAAAAAAAGGGGGGAAAAAATTATGAAAAGACATTGTATTATTTATTTTTAATTTATTTATTTCTTTTTATTAAATTAAATAAATCACTTCATTATAATTAAAAAAAAATTAAAAATATAGAAATTTTTTTTTTGAAATTTTTATTTTTTATTTATTTAAAAATAGAGCTTTATCATATAACTTTTATTAAAATAAATAAATAAATACACTTAATAATATACTACATATTCAAATATTTTTTTTTTTTTTATTTTTAAAATTTTTTTAATCTATTATTAATTCTTTTTTTATTAATTTTTTTTAATTTCATTTTTTATTTCTATATATATATATATATATATATAATCTATATCAATTACCATGAATTGGTATAAAACACTAATAAAAAATATAAAAAATAAAAAAAACAATAACACTAATAATAATAATAATAATAATAATAATAATAATAATAATAATAATAATAATAATAATAATAATAATAATAAAAATACACCCAGTTTGGAATCCACATCAAATAAAGATATTGGCCCTGGTGAAGTTGCATTTTGGAATGTATTTAGAAATAATTATTTATTCAAATTAATATTCTCAAATTTCAAATTTAAAAATTTATTCAACTATAATGATTTAAAAATATCATTGTATTTTTTAAAAAAGTTTAGTAATGGAAATGAAATTATTAGAGATAAAGTAAAAAGTGGAAATTATAAAATTACAAATTATAGTGTACAATTTTTAAATGAACAAATGAACAAAAATACCATTGAGAACAAGGCAATGTATAAACAACTGTTTTCAAAAAATAACGACACAAATAGTTTAAAAACATTCAACGATTATTCATTCTGGGTAGAAGAATTTGCATGTGGTGGGAATAAAGCGGCATTTCTCGAATACGCTGAAATTTTTGAAATTAAAAAAAGAAATATTTCAGTAAAATTAAATAATAATAATCAGGGTTTTAATAAAAATAGTTTTAAAATTTTTAAGATGGAGCCTATTTTAAAATCATATGGAGTTCAAGTTACCAATGAATCGATATCAATATATGATTTTATTAAAGAGATTGAATATTCACAAAAATTGAAAAAGCTTATTAAAATTTACAAGTTTGTTATGGAACAAAAATACCTACCAAAAGAAAAATACAATAAAATGGTACAAGAATTAAATCACATATTAGATACAAATCAATTTGATACAACAGAGTTAAACTCATCCATACATTCAATTTCAAAATCAAATGATCAAAAATTAAAACCAATTGTTTCAAAAATTTTGCGAATATTATATTCAATATATAAATTAAAAATTAAAAAATCAACTGATATACCAATTATGTATTATATATACTTTAAAGGAAATCCAAAAGCCGAACAAGTATTTGCAGATAGAAAATCCAATAATCGCTCCATCCATGTAGATCTATTCAGTGTTAAAAAAGGTGATGAATGTGTAGAATATCTGAAAAGATTTGCCAAATCATTACTCGAAATTTCATCTAGGGATAGGATTCAAGAGTTAATTTTTTCAAGCAATAATTTGGAACTAATCGATTTCCTGTTCACTCATTTCCCCAGAGATCTATACGAAAATTGTTATATATATTTAAAACAAATAACAAATATCGAAATACTTGACTATTTTTTCAAAAACCATCAAGAATTAATGTTCAAGGACAATAGTCCACTTTGGATGTACACCGACAGCAAAGTTATTGGCCATTTCGAAGAATTAATGAAGCAAGTATCAAGAAACTTTATGGTTAAATGCGATATAAATAAGTTTTCAAGTAACGATCTAGGAAAAAATCTTTTTGAAAACTTAGAAAGAGCACTCAACAACCCAGAAGTTTATATATTCGAAAAAAATGAAAATGATCCTCCAAACTCTATCAATAGATATAGATCATATTTTGTAAAATTGGATAGTTCCACACAGGATTCAGCCATATCAATTTTAGAAAAGCACATAGAAAAATATGGCACATCTGAATACTTTGATATTAAATCAATTTTAAACAATAAACTCCATCAATCCTATAAATTAATACACTGGATCTTTAAAGATTTATCAGATGAATATATTAAATCACACCTATCAAACCAAGAATTAACTATTAAGTCTGGTATTAATAAAACCAATAATCATATATATGAAATAAAAATCAAAGTATTTATCAAATGGGAACTGCTTTTATTTTATTGTGGCCGTTCAAATTTTTTATATGAAAGCCTAGTATCAAACTCTTTGTCAAAAGAACTCTTAATACAAGATCTACTTTATAATAAAATTAGAGTCCATCCATTTTTAAATTTACTTGGTTGCTTATTAAAATTAGATTTCGAAAGTGAAATTCTTTACAATTCTCTAAAAGAAGTAGTAACTATTTTGAAAGCCCCCGATTTCCACCATCCAGAAGTATTTATTGTTGAGGAAGCTGGAAAAGTAGTCCTTAAAATATATAAAAGTTGATCAAACAATATCTTTTATCGGTAACACTGGATTTTTAAATAAATTTTTTAATTATATTAAAACACAAAATAAAATAAAACTAAAATATTAAAAATTATATTTTAAAGAAATAGCATATCTTTATTAAAACTAATTATTATTACTTGTAAACTCTATAACTTTAACTTCTTTTTTTCCTTTTTCTATTATTCTTTTTGAATTCTAATTTATATTGAAAAATATTTTGTTATAAAAATTAAATTAAAATTAAAAAAGTGTTAAAATTTGGCATTGGTTATAAAATAATGTGTATGTTTTTTAAATGTGATCTGTGTTTATGATTATTGTTTTAAATTTGGATTGATGTTAGAATTGCATTATATCACATATGCCCCTTTAAATAAATACCAATATAACTAAAGTTTATCTCTTGATTATTGTCGGTAATTAGACCTACAAAGTCTATTCCTATAGTTGCAAATGTTTCTGTTTTAAATTTAATTGGTATTAATAATCCAGGAGTTTTACCATATCTTCTTTTTACTTGTTAAAAATCGTTACAATTTAAAACCCAATTCTTAATATCTTGACCTATACTATTCAATAAAATATGTGATTAATCTTTTCATATGTCTTTATATAATCTAAATCCCCAGTTTTGTAAGGAAAATCATGAAAAACTTTATTTGTCATTGATGGCAGAATAACTATTTTTTGAAATAAAAATGACTCTTCTTTTTTTTTGTATTAATTGCTAACCACGAATTTTTGACTTACCCCTTCAATAAGAATGGTGCAATGGTTAACACGACTTTTATTAATTTATTTTTAGAAAAAAAATTTTAGTAATTTAATTTTGATTATTTAGTTTTAGTTATTTAATTTTTGTTGAGTAATTTTTGTTATTTAATTTTTATTTGTGATTCATCGATAAAGTTCTGTAGCTTTCCAGGTGTATCGGTATTTTCACTCTAAATATATCTGAATTCCATATCTTGCTAAACTTCTCTAGCCTGTTGACATTCTTCATTGTGTGGTGTCGCTGGCTAGCTGGATCTTGGTGTTGAAGTTTCTTATATTTTCTGTTAATATTTTTGACTTCTCTTTCCCATGCTGCTGCGCAGATTAACTTGAATCTCTTGAGTACTCTTTGATATGTTTGACTCTTCTTTTTTCTTAAATATTTGACTACTTAACACATAATTCCATCAATAATTGTAAAAAATTATGATTCAAAATTTGTTTTGCTAATTTTTCTTCAGGTAATTCATAACTTTCTAAATAAATATAAATCGAACCTAAAAATCAATCTTTCAACATTTTTTGCTTGAGGTATTCTTGATCAAAATGGATTAAAGTATCTGCATCATTACTATTATGAATACTGTTATTTTCTAATATATGCTACATTATTGGTTTTATATATTCCATTTCTTACTATAATAATAATTTTCTTGACTTTCTTTCTCTACTATACTTGGTTGATTACTAATACAAGTTCTTCACCATCGGCAATATGAGATTTTATAATCAGACCACATTTTAGATCCAGAGCGGCAATAATGTTTGGGACAAAGCATTTTTGAAAGTTGAAAACCACTTTTGAAAAAAATAATAGAATCTGTTAAGTATACTTAATTTTGTAGAGGGGCATTGAAAAATGTAATTGTCGATTTTTGATCTTATTAATTGTTTTTAAATCTATTTAATTTCTTTTCTGTTATTTCATTTCTATTTTTTTATGGTTGTTTTGATTGTTTTTGTGGGCTCTGCTAGCTGTCGATGCAATGGATTTTTGTTTATTATTTTAACTGGTTAAGGATCCATTCTATCATCTTGTGTGTGATTAACATTCTTCTTTTGAATATCTTTTGTAAAATAGGTGTGCAAGGATATTATAATTATTATCATCTGTCTTAAGTTATAAAAATTATTGTGGGGTATTATTTTTTTTTTATAAAGGAAAAATTTAAATTATTTTATTTTTTTTTAAAAGAAAAATTATTGTAATTTATTTGTATGTTGATGATTATTTTTTTTTTTTTTCGTTTTTTTTAAAAATATTTTTTTTGGATTATTCAAAAAAATTTAAAAAAAAAAAATATTGATTGAATTATTTGAATTCAAAGTATAAGTAAAAAAAATTTTAATACATTTTATAAAAAATTTGAATTGTTTATTTTTTTTTTTTATTTTTTTTTTTTTCTTTTTTTTTCTTTTATTTATGATGATTGGTGAGGAGAGTTGTATGTCTAATTACTTTCATCAGAACTTTCAGATGATGATTCAGCTGGTTGACTCTTTAATTTTTCTTCGTATTGTTTCTTCTCAATTTCCCATCTCTTTTTGTCTTCAGCAGCCATGTTTTCATATTTCTTCTTTTCATCAGCACCGATTTGGCTCCATTTTTGACCTAAAAGTGAACCGATTTCACCAAAAGTACTGCTTGGGTTTTGAGCCTTAATTGTTGATCTATATTCTTTAGAGAAGAAGATGAATGGTGAGAGATAACGACGTGGAGCATTTTCATCCTTGTTCTTCTTTCTACCTCTCTTTCCGTCTTTCTTTCCTTTTTTGGTTTTTGGATCTTTCTTAGTCTTCTTGACTGGAGTTTTCTTGATTTTCTTTTCTTCGCCTGATGAAGATGAACATGAGTCCTCTGAAGAGCTCATTTTCTTTGTTTGTAGTTTATATAAAAAAAATAAAAAATAAAAAATATATAGCTTTTTAAAAGTTTTTAAATAAAACTATTAAATAGTAATAATTATAGATTTAAAAATATGTTGAAGTTGAAAAAGAAAAAAGAAAAAAGAAAAAAAAAATAAATTGGTGAATGATTTTTTTAAAAATTTTTTTTTTTTTAAAAATATTATGCGGTTAAATCAAAACAAGCCATTTAAAAATTTCAATAAAAAAAAAAAAAAAATTTTTTTTAAATGGCATTTTTTCAACCAACTGCGCAATAAAAAAAAAAATTGGGGTTTTACAAAAAAATAATTATTAATAATTAAAAGGATACTATTAAGCGGATTTTTAAATTTTAAATTATATTAATAAAATGCAATATAATAAATAGATAAATAAATAATAAATTAATTAATTAATAAATACATTAATAAATTATAAAATAAAATATATAATCAATGGATGATGATGAAGGAACAAATAAAATACCTATTACCAGAAGGAATTCGATCTGCATCGAATGTTATAGTTGTATCATTGATAACTTTAGATGTAACATTTTTATTTGCAAATATTAAATTACATTTTGATGAATCAATACCAAAGTTATTACCAGCTAATGTAATTGTTTTTAATCGATCAACATTATGTGATACAAGTGTTGGTTGTGCATATTTAAATAATGAATTGATTTTTTCAATACCATTAACATAAAATTTAAATGAATGTTTACCAGTTCCAGCACCGACATTACAACTTGTTTCAGTATTTGATTTCAATGTGCAATAAATGTGATTATTTGAATTGTCAATTGTAATAGATGGTTTTACAATAATATCTTAAGTATTTAACAATATGTAATGATGATCCTTTTGTTAATGATCTTGATGGAGCTAATACAAATGTAGGTTGTAGTGTTATTGTTATATTATTATTTGAAATAATATTATTAACTTCAATTGATAGTTTTACAGATGTTTTACATATATTTGGTAATTTAAATGATAGTTTAGTTTCATCATTACTTATTGATGTGATAATATTTTCATTACTTTCTTTTCCATTAAATATAAATTTTATTGTACCATTTGTATCGTTAATATTACCATAGATAATACCAGTTGTTGAAAATTCATTTGTTCTATCAATTTGAATTGCATTTGTTGATGTAAAATGAGGTACGCCATATTTAAAATTTATTTCAGTTGTACTTTCTACCTCATCTATTTTGATTTGAATTTTATTTATTAATCCTTCTCCAGGTTCTAATAAACAATTGATTTGAGATGTTGTTGATGATATATATTCACAATTATAGTTTTTATTATCATTACTGATTAAAGTTACATTTGGACTTGATGATTGAGGTGATGACATATGACTTCCAGCTATAGTAATTATACCACTATTATATTTTGAAGTTGATACAGTTGTATTAATCGATACAGGTTGTGGTTTAATATCCAATGTAAAAATATTTTTTAATGAAATACCCAATATTTACATTTATATATAACCTTTAAGAAAAGTCGGTAACATAATTAAGTTTTAATAAACGATGATCTATTGAAACAATTGATGCATTTATTCCATTCATAGTAACTTGGGCAACTGAGGGATCATTATAAAAATTTAAAATGTTTAAAGTGATTATTGAATCTTTATAATTACATTAAGAAATATAGGAGCATAGTTTATATATATTACTAATCTCTTTAGAGAAGAATCAGGATACAAAATAAAACTTCCATAACCAGGTGGAAAATTTACAGTTAAATTTTCGGGGTCAAAATTCTCTTTATCAACACTAAATTGTAATCCATAGCCTCTAGCCTCTCCATCTACCTTGTAATAATCATTAACATAATTTCTTAAATAATTACCAGTAAGTTGAAGTTTACTAACCTCAGTCAATGGTAATCCAAAGATAGCATAGTTTATTGGATCAAATGATTGACCCTTCAAATTATATGTATCCACTTCATATAAATAAATTGTGTATCTTTTAATACTATTTCCATAAAAGTTTTTAATCTGAGTATCATTCAATTCTATAACACATTTTTCTCTGTTGCATTTGGGTGTATAAGTCTCCTTTATTTTTTAAAATAATTATCATGGTATAAAGTAAAATTAACTGTTCTTGGTAATTTTGTGTCAAACTCTATATATGATCTGTTGTAATACACTAATCCTATTTAAAAAATATTAATAAAAACTGTTCAAAATTTATGAAAATTAAAAATATTTACTTTGTTGTGAATAAATTTTAGAAATAAAATATATAAAGAAAATACAAATAATTATTTTTTTTTAATTTATATAAATTACAATAAATAATTAAAAATAATTTTTTTTTATTTTATAATTTTTATTTTTTTTAAAACACTAATTTTAGATCATAATTATAATACATCAGTTTTTAATTTATTATTTCTTTTATATTTTTTAAACACAGTGTGTTAAAAAAAATTGAACAATCTTTTGTTGGTAAAATAGAATCATTTTTTTAATATTTTGAACAACCACAGTGTGTTAAAAAAATTGAGCAATCTTTTGACGGTAAAAATTTATTGATTCCGTTATAGTCAAAATCGAAATCTAATTTTATAAAATCAGACTACATTTTGGATCTAGGGTGGCAATAATGTTTGGAGTAAAGCATTTTTGAAAGTTGAAAACTACTTTGGTAAAAATAAAAGAATCTGTTAAGTATACTTAATTTTGTAGAGGGGTATTGAAAAATGTAATTGTTGATTTTTGATCTTGTTTTTAAATCTATTTTTGAATCTGTAGTGTTGAAAGGTGAATAGTTTTGTGATAACTATTTTATAATTTGTGACTGTTAGACCATCTTCACCCGGAGTTGTTCTTATATTCAAAACTCTTATTTATTTCTATTATTTCATTTCTTTTCTGTTATTTCATTTCCAAAGGGTACTTCTTTAAATACCTTAGCATACAAATACTGAAAGATAAATGAATACCGATAAATCAAATGTACCAACATATCTATCATTTAATAATACACAAATCATTATATTTGAAACATTAAGAAATTTTTTTATTATAAATTCCTTGTTTATTTTTTTTGATTACAGTATTTCGCAAAAGTTTTGACCCCCTTTTTTAAAAATTTTTTTTTTTTATTTATCTCCAATAATTTTAATTTCAATAATTCAAAAAAATATAAAATAAATTTCAAAACATCTTAACTATATTTATTTATAAAAAAAAAATAAAATAAAATTTTTTTTTTTTAAAATTTTTTTTTTTTTTTTTTACATATAAAAAAAATGGGTTCATTATTTTCAAAAAGATAATTAAAATTTTAATATATAATTTTATTTTTTAAAAGAAATTTTTTTTTTTATGATTTTTTTTTAATATTTTCTTAATCCACCTTAATTCTTATTTGTTTGTTGTATTTTTCTTGGGATTGATTGATAAAGATTATCAAATATATCTTGTTTAATATTTTTCAAAATTCTACCAATTAATAGATTGAAATTATGACGTGGATACCTGATAGAAATCAAGCTTATACGTCGTTTTACCATTGATCATATATTCTCCATAATATTAAGAACTGGTGCACAGAGTGGAACAAATATCACCCTAATGTTCATTTTTTCATAAAAACCGGTCAATAATTGGGTCATATGAATAGAGCAATTCTCTTGTAAAAAAAACGTATCACCAGATAAAATTGATTTCTCTTGTAAAGTTCTTCTATAACTCTGTATTGTTATTTCTAAATATTTTTCAGCATTTGTGTTAAACCTGACAATACATATACGACCTGCACCATGAGCTGTGCCACAGAATCATGTATATATTGAGCTGCCGCTTCATCTTCGTTTGGCCAAAATGTTGCTTTGAAGGTTTCTTACACCATGAATCCATTTTTTAGGTTCCATTTAATTAAAAAATCCTTCAATTCTGGTTTCGTCAACAAATATTACCCTTTCCCAAT